AAAACTAATTAAATTTAAGCAATTTACGAGGTAATTACTTTTTCGTGCTAAAGAGTATTTCCTGTATTGGCAAAAATACTTAGTCATGATTTTAGCAACATTTTACCAAAAAGGTAAACAAAACAAAACAAAACCAGGACAGTATCCCTTTGATGGTAGTAAATGTGGCCAATATAAGTGCAAGTCAATAGATTGCCACTGAATAGTTTCCAGTTTTTGCAATATCTGGTGATGTTTTGATAACAAAGTAATATGAGCAGCCAAAAAAGTCTTGTTTTACAATAGTAACAAGCAAACAACTGGCATGTTAAGGTGTGTGCACACCTACAAAAAATACTTATTTGAAACTCACCTATTGATTTCTGTTCCTCCACAGCTTCATTATCAGAACAGGAGATGGGAAGAAACAAGTCTACTTTGTGTGTGCAGTAGAACTGGCAGAAGGAATACTAACCAAGCACACAATGAAGGTCACTGCCTCCAGTGTGTGCGAAGTCACAGTCAAAATGGAAATTCTTGAGCCTGAACTTTTTTTAGGTTCCACTTTTTTCTTTCTTAAAGGAGTTATGTCACGGTTTTTGTATCATGAAAAAAATAATTCGTCATTTGTAATGCATCCTTAACTATCCTTGTTCCTTTTTTGATTTTTGTATCACCTGTTTGGCGTTTTTCTTTGTAACAAAATTTCTATTTTGAGGTTTCCAATATTTAATTGGCAATTAAAATTTTTCCACCACTTCACTCAAAATACTGTGATGCAACTCCTTTAATAAGCTTTTATTCATCGCTTTTAATTAAGATTTGAATAGGAGGACAAGAAATATAAACAAGGACTGTCAGTAGACCATTTCTGAGTTGCCTTTCCCCCTGTTTCAAGAGGATTGAGTCCTCGTGCAAAACTATTGATATAAAAATGAGTTTGAATTGCATGAAAAAGAAGCACATTTTCAGATGAAGAGTTTAACACAAAGACTATTTTTGAAAGAGAGGCAAAGCTCACCTTGGAAATGCGCTATTATGTTTTTCTTATTTTAATACGCTTTTATTCATCACATTCAGTTTGGATCTGAACACGAAAAAATGACCTACCGGAAAATATCAAGGCCAATACTGTTTTCATACTTAAATGAAACAAAATTAATTCCATGTAATAGATCGGTTTTCAATTGATTGTAGAAAGTACTAAGGCAACTACAATGGTTTTGCTTTTACTACGGTTTAGGATTGGCAAAATAGTCTAAATGCCATGTTATTGGGTTGGTTTTGGTGTTACGACACTCAACTGAAAACCGCTCTAAGCAATGATGACAAATATTGTGTGTATTTCCACTTTCATAGTATTGTTTTTCATTACAGTCGTTGACGCTCACTGAAGTAAGTGAGAAACATTGGTTCATGAAAAATATTGGCATAACAAATCTTTCAGATTATGTGTTAACTTTTTTCTTTAACGAATTTGTTTCAATTGATGTCAGGTTAAGAAAAATGATTGGTTTCTCTTGCCAAGTAGATAAAAACTGCCATTTGTTATAAACAAACAATAATTGCATTATTAGAAACTTTGCGTTAAAAAATTCGTGTTAACTTTTCAAAGTAATCACTCAACGCTTTAGTTAAGTATCTATAAGAGCACAAGCAAAAAATTAAACATTGCATAAGGCTTGTTAATGTTTCTCAAAATTAGTGATTGTCGATGTGGCAATGGCGACATTAAAAGAAATCATCACAGTCTACTGGAGTGAGAAAAAAAACTTAAAAGTATAAGAAGCATGACCTTAATGAAAGTAATAAAGAATTATTGGTGGGTCAATTGAAGATGTTAATTTGGCCGATTGAAGTTTGTTAATTTGGCCGATATACAGATGTTTATTCACCCAATTTAAGGATTTTAATTCAGCCAATTTAAGGTTTTTAATTCGGCCAATTTAAGTTTTTTTTAATTCAGTCGATTTAAAGATGTTAATTAGGCTGACTGAAGGCATTTAATTTGGCCAATTTCAGGTTGTCAAATTGGCCAATTTACAGATGTGAATTCGGCCGATTTAAGAATAAAATTACATAAGCCTATTTTCGAGTCATGAGTTACATAAGGCGATTTTGATAATTTGATATAGTTATTTTCATATAAGGTCATTTGCCCACATGCTGATATTGATCCAAAGAGCTTAAGGAAAGACTTGTCTTCCTTAACGACGTAAACACAAGTGGGGAGCCCGATAAGTTGCGCACACAGTTGAGAGGCAGAGAGAACACGGCACTGGTTGTTGTGGCATGATGATACTGGAATTGGTAGCAATGGTCTGTTGTTATCCTTACTGTGTAAAATGTATGATCCTGCTGTCCACCTAACAAATGAAGAATATGTGGCCAAGAATAACACATCAAAAAGAGTTGACTTGCAAGCAGAGATAGAACAGCCTCACCTGTACATGATGGGGTTGTGTGGCAGTTCTGATGCTGACCAGGTACTCTTCATACCTACAAGACAAGAGTACCAAAGAGGTCTGTCAAAAGCAGTTCAGATTGAAGATGTCACCATCAAGGATAAAATGAGGTTCATGAATGGAGATAATCCTAGTGTTGAGTTTGAGGACAGGACTCAGAAAGGTGGTCATCGAGGTTGTGTTGGTGGAGACATACAACATTCATTTGACTTTGAGTACATGTCTCACCGAAAATACAAGACACTCAAAGAAAAACACAAGCTAGTTCGCGGTGGTCCTGAAGGAAAAAAGGAGGACTTCACGCATTCAAAACCTTAAAAGTGGAGCACCTAAGAGGAGAACTCAGAGCAAGAGATGAAGACGGCAGTGGCTCAAAGCCACAGTTACAAGAAAGACTTGCAGAATTGCTCGGGGGAACAACCAGAGTTCCTGCACTGCTGTACAGAGATACGCAGTTATTTTTAGAACTAAATCTGGACCAGTACGAAGTTCTATTCTTTGAACCATTGCACTGTTGTTTAAACCACATTAAACATGTATTAGAAGAACTCTCTCATCACATCACAGATGTTGACACTCTTATGACACTGAAGGAGACACTCTCCATTGCTTTAAGAAGAGGCAAATTCTGCTACACAGACTATTATCAAACTCTATTGCAAGTAACAATCCTTTTAGCTGGGAAAGCAGATGGAGGAGTGATCAAATTACTGACAGCATTGGCTGAAATGATGGGAAAGAAGAAAGCAGAAACCCATAGCAAATCTTGTGACTGGCAAACCTTGCATTTAAACATGCACTGGCAATGAGGGCAGTTTTAACTCCACCCAAGACCATGACCCAGTGCAAACTGTATGGAATCTACTACCACAGTGCTGTGCATCATGCTGCTGTCATCTATGGGCTTGTGTCCCTTTCCTCCATTAATACAGAGCTGTTTGAAAGATTTTTCGACTGAATCGTTGACATAACAAGAAAGACATGGAGTAAGCATGCAGAAGATCTGGTACCAAATGCATTTCTGCACATTCAGGGGGAAGACTGCACTGTCAAAGAAAACACAGTTATAATACAGGAATGTAAAATTTCCAAGTTAGCAAAGAGGTTACCACACAGCGCCAACACAACAGTTAGTAAAGAACTCCTAACAAAGAAGCCAATATTGTGGCAGGCTCACCTGGAGCAAGTCAGTAATTTCCTCTTCCCAGGACCAGGAGTGTGGTGGCATTGGAGAGATGATGGTTCAGTTAAGTCTTATGATGGTCTCAATGAAGCCACGCATCGCAGAGAGGGTCCAAGTGGCTGTCATTTCAGGTCAAGTTCAATTTAAAAAAAGCAGCTTAGAAAGTGCCTGGGAGCAGTGTTATGAGAAACCTGATGAACTACCTCTTTACAAGCTGAGAAGTGACAGCAGAAAAATTGTTTATGACAAGTTACATGAAGAGGGGTTCCCTGCAGCTGAACACCACGAGCCAGAAGAAACTCACCTCAATGATTAAACAACACGGTATTGTGAAGTTAAGAAATTATAGCTCTCATTTGAGTTAAATTTACTTATCATGTAAATTGAAAATTTTAAGTACTTAACCCATTGACTCCTGTGCCGCCCGTAACTGCCTGAAAAAAGCATGTGGGGACTAGGTCCTCTCCCTACTCTCCCTCGAGGCATTTCGTTATTTTGTTGTCATAGAGATAAAAAGGGGTAATGAGCCACTCATTTGCAGTCTTTTGCGTATTTTTTGACAGCTGATGAGACGGCCCATAAGGTGGGGATTTCTGAAAAAATTTTCCTCATGCACACAATCGAATTGCGTGAGACAATGGCTGAGAACACTGAGAGAAAACCTGAACTTGCGGCTATTTTTTTTGGTGCATTTGAGGGTAGATGTAGCAGTAATGATAGTGATGTAGATCTTGAAGGCTTAGAGGACGACGATGGTGGCCCAGCACCTGGAGGTACCGATGACAAAGAAGAGGCTTGATGGACTGACCATCTCAGCGACTTCACCATCCCGGACTTCACAGCAGCGACTAGCCTTAATTTTAACTTACCTGATATTCCTAATCCTTTAGATTACTTTGTAGAGTTTGTAAGTAATAATTTATGGGATTTAATTGTCGTAGAAACTAACTGCTACGTTCACCATAAACTTTCAAATTCACAAGAGCGCCTTGCTAATTTCGTTCCAGTTACACATGCAGAGCTAAAGGCATTTATTGGAATAACCATAATTATGGGTATCAGTAGTCTCCCTCAGTCAGTGTTATATTGGTCATCTGATGATTCTATCACGTGACTACCAGAGTGGGAGATCCCATGAGAGAGCACAGTGCATGCGCAAGGTCATTGCATAACTTGCCTCACCAGCAAGGTCACAATGGAAGATTATTGTTGGAATTTTGCTTGAAAATATTGCTTGGTCTTACGCAGTAAGGCTCAAATAAGCATACAGTGAGTCACATAGTTGACCCTATCCTAATCTAACTGTTTATGAGTTGTTACTACTTGCACTTCAACGTAGTTGAAGTTAGACAATTACCTGTTCAAATTTGAGCATGGCAGACATGGATGGCCCAAGTGAAGAAGTTGATGGTCACTGGCGTATTTATGGGTTACGTTATGATGTAGTGACTAAGTTAGTTAGCCCTCATACGAATAGGAATCATCGTGTATTTTTCGATAATTTTTTCACGTCAACTAAGCTATTAGAGCATTTAGAAGCTAATGGTACTTACGTTTGCGGGACAGTGAAATGTAATCGTAAGGACTTGCCACCATGTGCAAAGGACAAATTGCGGGTTGGGGAGAAGCTAGTTCTTCAGAAAGGCCACTTTGGTTTCACCAAGTGGAATGACAAATGGGATGTTAGTGTTATGGCACCTAATGTAAGCCCCCTAGCCAATGATCTGGAAGTTAACTGGGCTGATAGGGAAGTCCAACAGCCTGTTTTAATTAATTTGTACAATAGCTCTATGGGGAGGTGTTGACCACGCCGATCAATTGCGCGAATATTATTCTGTAAGTCGTTCTTCGTATAAGTAGTATAGGTATATTTTTTGGTTTCTGATTGATGTATTGATATGTAATGCTTTTGTTGTTTGTAATTACCATCGGTTAAGCCAAGGGACGGGTAAGGTTAGGCAATTGAAATTTAGGACAGGCTTAGCTAAGCAGTTGATCGGGGGATATTCAACTAGTGTGTCTGCTGCACAATCATCAAAGTGCTGTAAGATCGAGGCATATTTACCTGAGGAGGAGAATGCAGGGAAACATTTTATTGCTAAAATTTTGGGAACACAAAGGCAATGTGTTCAGTGTAAGTGGGTGGGTACAAAAACTCCCAAAGGTCACCCCATAGAAAGTACTTTTGAATGCGTGCAGTGTAGTGTAACTCTTTGTAAGGAAGTTTGCTTCGTGGATTATCACATGTTGTAAATTAACTTTTCGCTTGCACACTATCCTTTATCTCCTGAGTCCTCATCAGCCGAATGCCGATATATCCTGAAAGAAACTTGAATAATTAAGATCAGTACTTACCGTAATGATTAGTAGTATTAGTTTTAGCCATGTTTTTGTAGTTGTAAATTATTTGCATATTCGGTTTTGTTGTGTTGGTTTGTTTACATCAGTCAGGTGGGCGAGAAAATTATAATTTTACGATTCTTGTTTTCAGGTTTGTTTTTAGAGATTATTTGGCTTCCATTTGGCTTCATATTATTGGTGTTTGGCCGCCAATTTGCCACAAGAAAAAAAATCCTATAAATCTAATGAAAAATTTGGCTTGTTTTTGTCTTCGTCTTTATTCCACAGTTTGATTTTCTTTCGCTGTGTAAATCAATTTCAGCCTTTTTGCTGCGCGACACAAATTATTTGATGCTTATTTGAAGAGCTCTTGTGGATGTTCCCAGAGACCTTAGTCAGTGGCCAAGAGGTAACATTGTAATATTGGTTTTTATGCTATGAAAAAACCATAGATGATCTAAAATGAATGTATGTCGAGATTACGCTAATTAATATTTAATGAAATTGTGACATTTTGTGTGCATGCAACTGGTTTTCTGTACACAGTCACGATTTAAAAATATGTCAACATAGAAGTACAAAATGAGACCAAACAAAATGTCAATCTGAAACAAATTGTTAATTCCAAAGTATTTTAGTTCAAGCCTTATAAAAATCATGCTATAATGTAACAAATACAAGCGTGTACAGCTTTTGGCATGGCCATAATTCTTAGTGTATAAACCTAGTTTAAACACTTTTTGGTTGCGGTCAATTTGTAAGTCTTTTTCTCTTTTGAATAAGGTGCTAAAGCTGTAGAGGTAGCAGAGGCTTTTGAACATTTGAGTGGTTTTCCACGAGTTGTAGGGTGCTATTGATGGCTGCCACATCCAAAGCAAGATGCCTTCCCAGCATCCGGAATCATATCTTAATCGACTGAAAAGTCATTCAATTCAGGGTTCACGCACCTTGAAAGTCCTTGAATCTCAAAATAAAAATTCAAGGCCTTGAAAGTCCTTGAAAATTGGAGTCAGTGCCAGAAAGTCCTTGAAATTTGTAGCTAATTTCATCCAACTTAGATTCTAGAGTGCCTTATATGAAAATATATGCTACTGGCAGAAACATAGCAACACGTAATAGTAAAAAAACAAATAAAAATGATTAATACCACTCCGCTATGATTGTTTGCATGTCTGGAATGTTAAGGGCCAATGAAATGTTTTGTACTATTCGCTCTTTCTGCGAAAAGCTATGTGCTTCAAGTGCTTCCTTATTTGGGTTGGTGTTGATTGTTTGTGTGTTGTTTCACGAGTGAAAGATTTAAAACAATGGGCAAGTGTGTTTTCAGCAACTTGTGGCTTCAGAAATCACTGTATAAAGAGTGGCTATGAGAAGTCAAGGGTGCCAAACACAAGGCATGATGCATCGTGTGCATGAAGGATGTTGACATTTCGAGCATGGGAGAGTCGGCGCTCACAAGTCACTTGAAAGGAAAAAAACATCAAACACTGACATTCCAGAAAAGGTCATTAGCAAGCGTTTCAGATTTTTTTGGCATTTCTTCTCAACAACCAGCAACTACAAGTGATATGCCAAAGTAATTTCAAAATCTGCTTCATCTGAAAGTGGCAAACACAATAAGCTTAACCCCACAAAGTCTATCACTGTGAGTTCATCTGGTTCATCAGTGATGGAAAAAAGTGTCACTAGTGATGAGACGTTGAAGGCAGAAATTTTGTGGGCATTGAAAGCGATAATGTCTCATTACTCCTATAAATCATGCAAAGGTATGAGCAAATTGTTTCAAGCAATGTTTCCTGACAGTAGGATTGCGAGTCAGTTTTCATGTGGAGAAAAGAAATGTGCATACTTGATCTGTTTTGGGCTCACTCCACACTTCAAACAACTTGTGAAGGACATTGTGAAAAAAGAAGAGGTTTATGTACTAATGTTTGACGAGAGCCTTGATAGCGTGTGCCAGTCAAAGCAAATGGATATTCACATTCATTCATGGAATCAGGACAAACACAAGGTTGAAAGTTGCTATTATACCTCAGTGTTTATGGGTCATGGCACAGCAGACGACATGCTTTCTCATTTTTGTTCAGGCATAGAAGGAATTCCTCTCAAAAAAGTTTATCAGGTAGGATGCTACTCTTGATATGTTTGGGTTATTTAAATAAACATAACAAACGAAAGATAAACATGGTCATCTCTTCGCTGATAAGTTACCTCATAGGTTTCGTAAATACATGTAGTGTGGTGCAAACCACCGTTACTTACAAAAAAGATGCAAATGTTTTGTGTAATGCCGTTATTTTGTATTAAAATATTGCCAGGAAAATCTTTCAATGTCTGTTATTATTTTGCAGTAGAAGGGTGAAAGATGATTGTTGATTACTTAATCTAATTTATTGCATGTGATATATTTTATGTTCACAATCTAGCCAATGTTCCCAAATGAGATAAATTTTCACTGGGAATTGTATTAAATAGAAATAAAACACCTTACTTGGTTTTCTGCCCTTTAAGGTCTAAATAATCAACCCTCTTTCATTGCAGATCTTCACGTTTCCAATGCATCCATGACTTGCTTATTTCGTGTCTGGGTGGACCATGACACAAAGTCTGGGGCATAATGCAAGTAATGAATTAAGTAATCTGTTACCTTTTCAATATTACAAGAAACGTTTTCTCTCATACTAGCTGTCAATGGATGGACCCAACATTAACTGGAAATTTTACAGTATGCTGACTGATGAGGTAAAAAAGGAACATAATAGTCACACGTTGAACATTGGCAGCTGTGGTTTACACATTCTTCACGGAGCATTCAAGGATGGTGCTGTAGCCTCAGGATGGCAATTAGACAGGTTGTTCTCTAACCTTCATTGGCTTTTTCAGGACAGTCTGGCAAGGAGAGAGGACTATACCAAAGTAACAGGGAGCTCACTGTTTGCTTTGAAGTTCTGCAAACACAGGTGGTTGGAGAATGTCTTGGTTGCAGAACGTACGCAGAGTATGTGGGACAGTGTTGTCAAGTATGTTCAGAGTGCAATGGCAGGGAAAGGTCCACAGCCACAGAATAAATCCTTTCAAACTGTACAAGAGTTTGTTGCAGATCCCTTTATGACTGCAAAAGTGGCTTTGTTCCTATCAGTAGCCAAGCAAGTGACACCTTTTTTGACACTGTATCAAACTGACAAACCAATGCTTCCTTTCCTGGCTACAGACCTGTACAGCATGCTTGGGGGATTAATGAGAAGATTTATTAAGACCACTGTTATCAGAGAAGCCAAAACCCCATTGAAGCTTACAAAACTTGACCCTGCTGACTCCAGCATTCATGCCTCTCATTCCAAGATTGACCTGGGGTTTACAGCTGACAAGAAGATCAAGGAGTTGATTGCAAAGTCCACAGTTTCAGAGAAAACAGGCTTCAGTTTCAGATGGAATGCAGGGAGTTCCTTGTGAAAGTAGTTTGCAAACTGATTGCCAAAGCACCAATTCAGTATTCCCTTGTAAGGAATGTAAGTTGCTTAGATCCAAGGAACATTAGGATCCAAGGATCCCAGGAAGTTTTTTATTTATACGCTCACTAGAATCTTCAGAATTGAAGGAGGTGAGTCGCCCAGGAAGAAGAACATGATGAGTGACCATGATGTTTCCATCACAAAATTCAAGAAAGTATTGACTACCCTTGAAAATGCCAAGAAAGTTCTGGAAGGTGACTATGATTCCCTTTCGGAACTATTTAGAGAATTTATTATGGAAGTCCCCTCTTATTCTCCGTCAGAGTTCAAAGACTATGATCCTAACAATGACAGACTTGATTCCTTTCTGTATCTTCACATGGGACAGAAGCGATCCTACCAATCATTGTGGAAAGTAGTCGCAGACCTACTGATATTATCACATGGCCAAGCCAGTGTCGAAAGAGGATTCTCAGTCAATAAGCAACTGGAGGTTGAGAACCTTCAAGAGCACTCCTTCATTTCTCAAAGGTTGGTACAAGACCATGAAAAATCTGTGGGAGGTGTCCTTGCTGTTTCAATCAACAAACCTCTGCTCTTGTCAGTTGCAGGAGCTAGGCAGAAGTATTCATCGTATCTTGATGAACAAAAGAGGAAGAAAACCTCTGAGGGTGTAGAACTGAAGCGAAAGGAGCCAGTCAACGAACTTGATGAGCTTAAAAAGAAAAGAAGGCATTTAGAAACTGATGTTGACGGTATTGTTAAATCAGCAGATGAGTTTGCACAGAAAGCAGAGGATACTGGGAAACTTGTGTGGATTACAAAGTCAAATAGTTTGAGGAGAACTGCAAAAGAAAAGGAGATGACTCGCAAAGACATTGAGGACAAAATTGCAAATGTTGTGGATGAACTCAAGAAGACATAGACTTTTACCTGTCTGTTAGCTCGGCACAATCGCTACTATGAGAAGCTCAACATTCTTTGATTTTGCAGTGCGTTTATTAAATTATTAA